TGCTTGGTGACAGAAATATGGTATATATAATGTAGGTATGGTGATTACACTTCACCTTAACGAACTCTTTCATAAGGGGCTCTAATATATTAGAACCAATTCAAAATTTGAGCATCAAACATTATTGCCTCTTACGTAACAGCGTAATCATATATGTACCACTAAGATAATTACGGCTTAAATTCTGATAGCAGTGTAATGAATTGAGCACGATCCTATTTAACACTCTCTGCCGTTATTCGCTAATTGGGTGTAAAATTACTTAGTCAAGTTGCGTCTAGCCAGTTGCGAGTAGTTTTGTATACTACGTAATAAACTACCACCCTCTTTCTAGATGAAGTTAACTGAATATCACGATGTTTTACTACCTTAATATTAAATTGTTTTTTTGTGAAATTCTCTTCTACTTAAAATACACTTTCATAGATTTCTCACGACAGCGCTACGGACAAAAGGCGTTAAAAAAACAACATCTAACAACTAGTACATAGAAAATTCGTAAGGTCTCCCGATTCGTTCCGTAGCTCAGTTGGTAGAGCGTCAAGTACGGTATTCTGAAGGCGCTGGTTCGAAGGAATAGTTTTTTGTGTTTATAGAACATATTTTTTTTAAAGTCTGCTTTGCAATTAATATTAACGTTCTGAACCTAATTATTTGACTGTACTTAAACAAGAACGATAAATCGTAAATATTGAATATTGAATCCGAGAACCAAAAAAATATGAATGTTTCTTGATACTAATCGCTAAAATTAACTAACACATAAAACTGAAGTCGTTTTGTAACTCACAGCTAACTCGCAAACTTTAATTTCTTCCGCAGATTTACTACCTGGATTCGCACGATGTTATTTCATGGGTTTTGCACCGAACCAATAGTGAAATCGAAGGCAGGGAGACTTTACTTCAATGCGCGCAGTCTTCGCACTCTATCGATCCAATGGACAAGCCTAATTCTTGCTTCTCTGCTGCCGCTTTGTTCTTAAAAGCTGGAGATAAATTAGCAGTACGGAATACAGGAGGCGACAGGCATTCCATAATGCAACCAGAGAAGAGTTTTATAGGTCTTGTGAAATTAGCCGACGCAGAAGATCCCAACGAGAGCATGGAACTCTAATTTGAATAAAGAAAACAAGAATCTGAAATACAAATTCAGTTTCCTTTTCTTTTTTGTCAACTACACTCTACAGTCTTGTTAGCCAGTACAACAGCAAGGATTAGGATGTTCTTAATTAAAGAAACATTTTCTAGAATTTTCTTGGAATAATTCCATATCTATTTTACTGAAGGGAATATTCCCGTGCGTAGTATTTTTTTGTAAACTGTTGTCTCTACTAATTCTTAGATCTTATTTTTATGTAATATTAACGTTATTAGTTAGGATTATTAAATATTAAACTTGCCTTACAAAATGTATGAGCTTTGTCGTCGTCTTAAGAGTGAATGCCTCGTATGTGACTTCTATGTAATATTTCAGGACGAAGTTAAAAATGTGGTGTAAAATGTAGTAAACGCAATAATATTTGTAGTTAGCATTTTAATTAGCTAAATTATACCCACTATATTACTTTAATAATATATTTGAGCAAGAAGTTTGTAAGTTTTTCTTCAATAAAAATCAGTAAAAACGAACTATGTGAAAACGCGTATACGAGGTTTTCACCAGAAGGCGACGTTATGTGAAATAGTGATATTTGTATTATAGTCAAGCATGTGCCATGTTAAAGGTGTTTAAGTGTTAATTTTACGAACAAATTACTTTATAAGCTTATTATTAAATATGTATTTTCTAAAAAAAATATTCTAAATAAATATCTATTTCGTTTATAAATTGATCGAATATTCTCTTGGAATGACGCAGCACAGTAATTAATCATATTTTTAACGAATTTAGGAACCTTCCATTCACGGTGACGACATCGAGCATATTGAAATACAATATTTTTTTCGATCCCGTTATAAGTTGCCTGTTGATAAAAAATAGTGATCCGATATTTCATATGCTAAAATAACACAAATACCGTTTCTAGTATCAATGTTTGGTCTAAACACTATTGAGACATTGGTGTAGACTTCAACTTTTTCTTAATTTCTTAAATAATAAAAAAAATCAGATGCCACAGGCTGTCAAAATTAAAAAAAATAATGTGTAGACTAGAATGGGTTTTATGTTTTTAAAAAAAAGTGGTTAGATCAAAATAAAACACAAGGACGCCATTCTTAACCTTACTTTATAAAAATAACTAACTTTATAAAAAATAAATATATATATAATAATAATAGCTTTATTTATCCCTTACAACAGTACAGTTTACTATATAACTTATTCAATTTCTATTTGTTAGTATGGTTAGTATTATCTTAATTTACAGTTAGTAGTGTTATGTGTAAGGGCCGCTTTTAGCGGTGAAAGCCTCCTCCATCTTCTTCCAACAGACTCTGTCTTATGCCAGTCTTGGCCATGGCGTTCCTGCTACCTCTACGATATCATCACTCCGCCTCTTTGATGGCCTGCCTCGTCTTCTTTTCTTATAAATCGGGTACCAGTGCGTGACTATCTGTGACCACCTTTTGCCTGTGACTCTGAATATGACCAGCCCATTTCCACTTTAGTGACAATACCCGACTTACAACATTTATGCCTTTGTGTTTTTTCTCACTACTGATATATATATATATATATCAGTCATCATATATGTCATATAAATATACACACACACACACACAAAACAATAGACTTGCGTTATTTATAAGCTATTAGCCATCAAAATTGGCAATTTATCGGCTACTTAAGTATTATCGTATCTTACCGCGTATTTTTTCACTTTTGTCTATGAATATGACGGCCTTGATACTAATCAAATATCTTTGCAAATATCTTACAAAGATCTATCAGAATGACTTTACACGAAAAGGTGTCAGAAAATTATGATATTTTCATTAAAAAAACCGACCTCAAAGTTTATTGAAATTGATCATCGGAAAGTGGGTGACATCCAATAAACCGGGTTCATCACGTAATTTGCGATTAGAGGTGGAATAATTACTTCAAATTTGAATGAGACCACTAGTGAAATACCCCCTTTCCAACAAAAACTGAATAATCGAAATCGATTCACAAATGTCGGTATAATGGAGTAAAAACACACAAAAAAATAGTCGAATTGAGAACCTCCTCTTTTTTTAAGTCGGGTAACTAAGTGATTGAAGAAAAAGTTAAACCTAAGACCTGACAGTATGGCTAATTTTCTTATGTTTACTTCTATCTTTGTAATTTTGTAATCCTAATATAAACATCAAAAAGTAGACGATCGCGATTGTTAGTGTTAAAAGTTTGAGAATGGGGTGTCAGAGCAAATATTGAAATTTGCAACGGTTCTCAATATAATTTATTGTTTAGATGTAATATTGTTGCGGTTGCTTATACACTTTAAAATAATCACTGCAACAAAACGATGTCTATATTAAAGTTTTGATTTGTGTAATAAATTAAAATTAAAAAAGTTGGTAACAAATTTGACGTCATTTTACCTACCTAAAAAGTATACATTAAATGTGTTTCTAAACGTTTCTGGATATTCGATAATTTTATGTAAAGCAACCGTGTGCCGTTTCGATTGAAATCAGAAAAAAATTGAAACGTTAAATGTTAAGTCGCATCTAATCATATAAGAAACCACTCGTATAGATCTGATACTTTCGGAGACACAACAAAGTCGATTTTGAATTATAGGCATTTTGCATATGCCATATTGGAAAAATATTGTGAGAGGCCAATACTCCCATTTTTGTTTATTTTTTTAGCATTCGGTCGCCAAATTAAGGTATCGGTGTTCAGAAACACATAGAAACAAAAGTAAAGAAATCGTTTTGTGTACGTAATGACGTGGATTTTACGTTTCCAGCTTTTAGCCCATAATGTATTAGAATTAAACAATTATTCTAAATAAGTTGTTTTAATTGTTATATTTCGTATTTCTGCAACAAAATGAAAAATATAGGTATATATATGTATGTAAATGCGAAACAAAGAAAAAAATATCAATCCCAACGAGAAATTCGAACAGAGGAAAAAGCACCTTATGACCTTATTAAACACGCGTAGAGAAGAAATTCTTTACCTGAACAATCTTCCCAAAGAAATTAAATGGAAGCCTTAATAAAAATCCATTTAACAATGGATTGATACCTAATGGTAAAGGTCTCCACCTACGATATCCGTCTTAATTAATGGTAACATTGTGCTGTGCAGTAATTACCTGAGAACTAATTGGAATACGTACTAATTAACGTATTATTAATGAAGCCGTAATATTCTTCTGTGCAAATAATATTATTAGAAACCAATTACGGCACTATTTTTATTCACTGCTTTTATAGCAATGACGTAAAGCATAATATTTGTGCACACGATAAAAAACGCTTTACTTTAAATAAAGAAAAATAACTACGCGTCAACCATCGAGTATATAACCAGAAATAGAGACAAAATGTCATTCAATTCACTTGAAAATTATTCTGCCAAATCATTACGGTGATAACTCCGATTGGCCAGCCCGAATTCGAAACAATTGTCAGGTGTCGTCAATGTTTAACTCCAAAATGTCCAGTTTAACTTGAACTTTGCTACAATGGACGAAAATTTAAAAAATAACATTTTTATTATTTAATTACCCATGAAATGTGATTTCGCTTGTTTTGTAATTAGATGTTTTGCTGTTTTTTCCACACCAACGAATGGAACAGCCCTGTGGGGCGTTGTTAGAGATATTATCTTTATTACAATAAATTAAAAACATTTTTGGAATATACGGAGATGTACACACAGGTCAGTTGCTGGTGCTGTACTATTTCAACTTTCTAATTTGTGATTTCAGCGCAAACGAGGATAGATATTTAAAAGTGATATAGGGCCCATTTGCCTGATGTGTTGTCAGGGATGGATGCCACTTATTTCGTCTCTATTTCTGGTTATATACTCGATGGCGTCAATGCAAGTTCAAAAATCTACGTTATTTTATACCAGTAAACACACAAAAGTAAATATTTAATTACATAAGTAATGAGGAATACATTATACGGTTGGCATTTTAAGAAATTAGAAATTATGCAGCGCGTATACTAAATGTATCAATTCAGCTCAAACGACGCACCTATCAACTTCTAAATACATCATCTCAGTACCGAGTACTAAAAAACCGACTTCAAAAGTTCGTGGAATTAATCGGTTACCGGAAAGTGCGCGAAACCGGATTCATCCCTTAGTTTGCCAACCTTACAGGTGAAATATTTTCTTCAAATTTAAATGGGACCACTGCTGAGGTACCCTCTTTCCAACAAAGAAAGAATCATCAAAATCGGTTCACGAATGCCGAAGTTATCGCATAACATACATACAAAAAAAACATACAGTCAAATAGAGAACCTCCTCTTTTTTTTGAAGTCGGTTAAAAATTTAAACTTGTCCTGTAACAGAACGAACAAACACGTACATGTTATATAACATGAAAATCGGTACTACAAAGTGCCTGTATTATGAGATGTTACACAATAGAACATTAATATGAGCTTCAATAAGCAACATGCTCTTTGAAGATTAGCTTTGATGAATTAATGAAGAAGACACATTAAATTTAAAGAATCTTTAACAATCTTTGCAGAGACTGGTGTACGAACTAGATTGATCCTGTATTTCCAACAAAGTCTCCTTCATCAGAAATTAATAACACTATACTGTAGTCAAATTCGACATAAAATGCTTAATAACAAAACGTAGCTAGACAACAAAAAAAAAGGCATGATGGCAGGTATAAGGAACATTTGTTATCAATGCTCATTATTTACGCTACCTCTGTCCACGGCCAGCTCGCCTAACTGGAATTTAAATAGGTAAGTAGATAATCAAATTTAAAACATTTACAATATTTGTAGGGACAAGTAGAAAAATACCTACTTGGGGCCTTACCATGAACTCTTATTACGATTCAGTTCAGGACCTAAAATAAATCTTTGTGAAACAGCGCTCCATGTAGTGTATATCACCATCCCGCTTTTTTGTTTAATAAAATTTAAAACATTTACAATATTTGTAGGGGCAAGTAGAAAAATACCTACCTGGGGCCTTACCATGAACTCTTATTACGATTCAGTTCAGGACCCAAAATAAATCTTTGTGAGACAGCGCTCCATGCAGTGTATATCACCATCCCGCTTTTTTGTTTAATAAAATTTAAAACATTTACAATATTTGTAGGGACAAGTAGAAAAATACTTACCTGGACAAATATTATAACAATGTGCAAAGTACCTATTAATGTCTATGATCTATGAATAAAATAATTAAGTTTTTGATAACTATTAAATACATACGGCTAGATAATAGATAATAGTAGATGAAAAGGAACAGAATTGTAAGATATTATTTTATATTTCGTTATTAATATCTGTACACGACCACCGAAATGTACCAAAAAGGTATTATATGTTTCATAATAAATTAGAATCTTATATTACCTACACCGATTATAATTCCGAAATATAACGTGATTATTAAAGTCTAATAAAGTGATATATGAATAGCAGCTT